GTATGTGAACTGCTGTATGGAAAGTGAATTTGCTCTGTAAATTTTCACCCAAATCACAATTAAAAAAAAAACAAAACAAACAAACAAAAAAAACAGTACTCCTTGAAAGTGATAATGGCCAGACTTCATTTCACTTACTTTGGGCATGTTGTCAGAAGGGACAAGTCCTGAAGGATATCATGCTTGGTAAAATAGAGCCAGGGAAGACCGTCAATGAGATGGATTGACACAGGAGCTGTGAAGATGGGCTCAAGCACAGCAAAAATTGTGAGGATGATGCAGGATCAGGCAGTATTAGATTCTGTTGTACATCGGGTCACTAGGAGTTGGAGTTGACTCAATGGCACCTACCGAAAACAAAGGAGCTCTGGTGGCATAGTGCCTAAGACATTTGACTGCTAACCAGAAGCCTGGCAGTTCAAACCCACCAGCCCCTCCTCAGAAGGAAGATTGGGCAATCTACTTAGTAGAGATTTTGCCTCAGAAACCCAAGGAGGGGTCTCTATGGGTCGGAAAAACAACTTGACAGCAGTGAGAACAAGAACAACAACAAGCTTGCCCCTATTTTTTCTTTGATTATTTTTATACTTTTAAGTTTTACATTTAAGTCTTTGATCCATCTAATGTTCGTTTTTGTAATAGTGTGACAAATGGATCCTGTTTCATTTTTCTGCAAATGAATATCCAGTTTTGCCAGCACTGTTTATTAAAGAGACTGTTTCTTCCCCATTTAATGGACGTTGGCCCTTTGTCAAAGATTAGCTGTCCACAGGTAGATAGATGGACAGCATTTTTTAATACCAGGAATAATAGACCATTTATTTATTACTAGGAAATGGCTCAAAAAAAAAAAAAAAAATCGAAGGGACTGCCATCAAGTCAATTCCAACTCATAGTGACCACCGTTGGGTTTTCCTTCTGCAGAGTGGCTGGTGGGTTTGAATTGCCAACTTTCTGGTTAGCACTAAAATGCCTTAGGTACTACGCCACCAGTTAAGAACCAAAAGTTCTTTGATACTAGAATCTAGGAATATTGTGAACAAGACAGATGAGAGTCACTGCTCTGAGTTTACAGTTGAAAGAAGAAGCAAGGCAAAAAATTAAGTGCATAAAAAAACCTTAAAATAATTAAGAATGATAATAAATTCTCTAAGGGAAACAAACAGGTAGGTACTGCCACATATATCAGAGACGTCCTGTTGCCACATAGCATCAGGGAAGAAATAATTTTCAAGATTGTTCCTTTAAGTTTGTACAGAGAACATTGATATTTGAAACATTTACATGTTTGATTTTGTATAAAATAAAATGAACCACAGTACTGACATCCTGTAGTGTTAAACTGTACTATTTTGAAATATGCCAAAAATAAAGGAAGGAATGGTAGCATCGTGGGTGCCCTCCAAATTGTGAAACTTTCATTCTCCCTCAGTGAACCAAGCATAGGTGACCATTTGTGGCACGAACTGAGACCTCAATATCAATCCCTATAAAGAATATTGTTGTTGTTGTTGTTATGTGCTGCTGAGTTGGACTCAACACATAGCAACCCCTCCTTGGGTTTCCAAGGCTGTATCACTACGGAAGTAGATTGGCCAACCTTCCTTCCGAGGAGTGGCTGGTGGGTTTGAACCGCCAGCCTTCTGGTTAGCAGTCAAGTGTCTTAGGCACTATGCTACCAGAGTTCCCTATAGAATATTGGGAAAGGCTAATTTCTTCTCTTTTTTACCATAAACAAAAATGTATCAGAAACTCCATTATTTTCTACATGTTCTTGATAAAGACTAACATCTTAAACACACTTGGGCACAGACTTCTGATTTCAGACACCAAAAATTTAGAGATGATCAGACAGATTGAAACTGTCAATGTTGAACAACTGTTATTAATTTGTTTTTATTGTTCATTTATTAAAAAATCAATGGAATGAATCTAACAGTTACATAAATTAGGAGGCAGGTCTCTTCTAATGGTGTAGGCACTAGGAAAATACCAGGGTCTGAAGAAATACTTATTTTTAAAAAAAATTTTTTTGTTTGTCCTGCATTTCCTCAATTTGAATGTTGGTCCTCTGGTGCCCTGTGGTCTATTGCTCTAAGGGATGTATTACCATAGACTATGTGGGTGTGTCATCCTGGGTTGAGTGGTCTGAGTGTATATCTTGTTAACCTTTTGGGCTGAGAGCCAGACCCTGGGGGTGTGTTTTATTCTAGGCGCAGAATGTATTTCGGGCGGTAGTATTGTGGGTCTCACCAGATTTCATCTGCCCAGTAATTCTGGTCATTATTGAGTTTTTGGATTTTTGTTCCATGTTTTTCCTCCCACTCTATCCAGGATCTCCAGATTTGATCCTTTTCTGAGTGGATGGCATTGGTAGCCGGGCACCATCTAGTTCTTCTGGTCTCAAGGGCCATTGTGTCCTATGGCTGATTGCTTCCAAATGCCTTTTTTTTTTTGCATTCTTCTTCACTTCCGATGCTAGGAGACTGTCAGCTGCATCTCAGATGGCCACTTGAAAGCTTTTAAGACCCCAGTCGCTACTCACCAATGCAGGATGTGGAGCAACACTTTTACGAATTTTGTTGTGCCAATTGAGTCTGATGTCTCCCAGTACTATGGTTCTGAACAGTAGTAGATCTATTGGATCTCTCTCCCATAGTGTCTGGTTGTCTGTGAGGGATTACTCTGTGTCTGTCTTCTATTGTTTCTGTAAGGACTGCAGGTATTTTGTATCACTGGAGTCTGTGCAAGATTAGCCTCAGCTGAATCTATCCTTGGTCTAGAGTATACTTCTGTTCACTGACCCCTGTCTGATCATCTCAGGTGTTTATGTATTTATCTGTAGCCTGGTGTTTGGTGTTAATGGCAATGCAATATTGTGGACACATTGGTTGGAATTAGCATCTGTGTCTATCTCTTATGTGCATGATTCAGTGTCCTCCCATTTCCTAATGTTATCACGGTGGTCACAGACCCTTCCTATATATCCCTCCTCCTACCCACCTCAGTGTGTAGGCCCCAACTAGCTCAAAATTAATCCCTCCTCTTCCCTCCCCATCCCAGTGAGTTCCGTTTCCAAAGCAAACCCTTCTCTGTCTTTTTACAGTAACGGGCTCATACACTACTTGTCTTTCTGCGGTTGACTTAGTTCACTAAGCATAATGTCCTCCAGGTTCATCCATGTTGTCAGATGATTCTTTAATGTGGCATAGTATTCCATTGTGTAAGTATTATTGATTTTGGTTTAGAAGCAACTGGTGCAAGTGTGAAAAAGGGAAGCACAATTGCTTCCGGAGAATCTAGGTACTAAATAGTTGGCTGAAGAAAAAGAAGAGAAAGGAATACAGTGCTGAGTTAATTCAAATCTATTATTGCTTTAAAGGAGCTCTGGTTGTGGAGTGGTTAAGGCATCTGGCTGCTATCCAAAGTGGTCAAAATGTCAGTGGTTCGAACCCACCAGGCGCTCTCTGGAAGAAAGATAAGGCAGTCTGCTTCCCTAAAGATTTACAGCCTTGGAAACCCAATGGGGGACGCTATGAGTCAGAAGTGAGTTTGGTTTTTGGTTTGATTTTTGCCTTGCACAAGGTCACAAACCTAAGACCCTTAACGCTGGTTTCTGAAATGCATTGAAACAAGACCTTGTAATATTTATAGTGTGATTGTGTAAAAAGGAGAAAAAGCATGCAAAGACGAAGTATGTTCAGAGCCATATACTACTTCCCACTTACGCGTTTCCTTTACAGCTAATTTCCTTTTAAGTCGCTGCTGGGAAGGCTGCCTGGGTTTCCGCACCTGGGCCCAGCTTAAGGCTCCCGCGGCCCCGCCCCTGGGGCGGGCTTTCCCAGGAGCCCCGCCCTTTCTCTCCCTCCAGCATCGCCCGAAACGCCTGCGGCGAACGAGAAAGCACCGGAAGGAGCCGAGGCTGCTGCGGGAAGTGGAGGGTTCGGGGGCGGGGCTGGGACCCTGAGGGCCGTGCTGGGGTGCCGTTTTCCGGCCCTCCAAAAGCGATGCTGCTTCTCTCCTAGGATAAAGAAGGAAAAGAAAAGCTTATAGAGGTGCAGCCGCAGGCAAGTGTTGGCTGCGAAGGCGGGGCCTGCGGGGAAGGCCGTGAAGGTGAGTGCGGCGTTGCTGGGAGGGGCGCGGAGCCGAAGAGCGCACCGTCTGCCACCGGCGACCAGTCCTGCTCTTGCTGCTGCGCGCCAGAGCCTGAGGCCCCTCTAGTGGCCTCTCTTTCTTGGTCCGGAATGATAGAGGGGTGCGCAAGAAGGAGGCCTCAGCCCCTCAGTGCCCTGCATAGCAGGGATGAGCTGGTGGCCTCCGCGCCGGGGGTTAGCAGAGAACGCGAACCGCTGTTGATTTGAGAAAGGATTCGGAGTGGGCGCTCCCCTGGGACACGTGAGGAGGGAGGGGTGAGGCCATCCAGGGACAGGGGCTCCGCTTCCTTCCTCTGTTTCCCCTGTCCGGGTCGCCAGCATCTTTGGGTAGCGCGGCAGCTCCTTGGTTCTTACTTCGCTTTGCGGCGCACTTGGGGTCGCTCTACCGGATGGTGCGGCCCCACCGGCCCGCTTATTCATTGTTATGAACTGGAAAGCCAGTGTGTCGTCCCTGGAATTTTTCTTCGACTGGTGTTTGTTACTGTTTCAGAGCTTACCGCTTATCATCTGCCCATCAGCAGTTTTTGTTTGGGTCAAATTTCCTTAGTTGTGGTTTTCCAAACCTTTACTTTTAGGTATTTCTCAACTCCAAAATGTTCTTCTTATGAATATTTACATGTTACAAGTTGAGCTGTTGTATGAAATTCTTCTAGATGATTTGTACTCAATTATGTTTAGGGTTTATATTTTCATATTATCGTTTTTAATCCTGGGAAATTGAGCCAGCGAGGGAACATACTGGCAGGAATATAGATTCTAAATTGAGGATGAATTTTACCACATGGATCTGGATCTTTCTTAATAGATATGTGGGATTATGCAATTCTGTAGTTTAATAAGATTACTTTTACTTTAATAAGAAAAATCTGTTTTGAAAAGTAGTGAGACCGTTACTGGTCTAGACAGAAAGTGCTGACCAATCAAATTCTCTTAATAAGCTATTTGATTTGAACCTACTATACATATTGCCAGTGTGTTCGTCTTATTAATACACATAAGAGTAGAAATCTTATGGAAAGAAAATTCTAATTTTAAGAAAAAAGTAACAGTAATAGTTATGTTATGCTAGACACTTTATGTTATTTCATTTATTTTAGCAGAATTGAGAAAAAGGGACAGTAGAAAAAAATACCCCAGGAATAAAATATCTGACCTGCTGTGTGCAGAAGGGATAGTCTATTGCTTCTTGTTTTTGATCTAGTTTATTGCCAACTTACTGGTTATAGAGTTTTTTATGACCTATCAGCAAACCAAACCCACTGCCATCTAGTTGATTCCCAATCATAGTAACCCTATAGGACAGAATAAAACTGCCCCAGAGGGTTTCCAAGGCTGCAAATCTTTAGGAAAGCACGCTGCCTCATCTTTCTCCTGTGGAGCTGCTGCTGGATTCAACCCGTGGACCTTTCTGTCAGCAGCCAAATGCTTTAACCACTGCACCACCAAAACTCTTAACCTATGAACAAGCAAATCTTTTTATGTAACAGTGTGGTTTAATGGTGTTAGATTGTAGTAAGTAGATGGTTTTAAGTACCTGAAATTCAGAGTTATGGAGAAGATACTTTTTTTTCCTTTTTTTTTTTTTAATTGTGATTTGGGTGAAAGTTTACAGAACAAATTCACTTTCCTTACAGCAGTTCATATACACTTTGTCTCATGACACTGACTACAATTTACCCCAGTGCAACAGCTCCCCTCCCTCTTTCTCCCCATAGTTATCTCTTCACTGTGCCCTTCCCTCCATGCACTCCTGCCCCCTGAGCTGTCTCCCTGTGCATAAACAGCCCTTCTTTCTCCCATGATTGAAGAAGATATATTTATGTACTGCTATTCAAATTTTCAATGACCTTTCACATATAATCTTACTTGATTCTCATGCTAATCATCTGAATTAGGTATGCCAAGAAGTAAAGTCTTTCCCCATGACAGAAGCCTTTGGAGATTGTATAAGAATCAGAATTTCCTTAATAGCCTGAAATAATTTTGCTAAAGCAGCCTTTGAAATAAAATGGAATTCTGATAGATTTAGGATCTTGGAGCAGTCTGAACTATAACATTTAATAAACCCTAGACTTCTTGCAGGAAAATGAAATACATAAAATGGTGATAATTATGAAATGTCATTTTCAAAAAAGGAATAAGTAACAGCTTGCTTTCTTTTAGTGTAGTTCTTAAGCTCTTTAAAAAAGTCTGGTAGCGTAGTGCCTAAGGCACTTGACTGCTAACCAGGAGGCTGGCAGTTCAAACCCACCAGTCACTCCTTGGAAGGAAGGTTGGGCAATCTACTTCCGTGGTGATACTTCCTTAGAAACCCAAGGAGGGGTCGCTATGAGTCGGGTCCAACTCGATGGCACATAACAACAACATATGATTGTAGGAGAATTTTAATAATTAGGGTGCTCCAAAGAGTCTGAAATGAGTAGGTTTAATGTTTATTAAAAAACAGCATGAGTTATTTACCATATACCAAAACGAAACCCAACTCATTGCCATCTAGTCAGTTTTGACTCATAGCGACCCCCATTGGGTTTCCAAGGCGGTAAAACTTTACAGAAGTAGGTTGCTGTATCTTCTTTCCACCAACCTTCTGGTTAGCAGGCAAATGCCTTAGGCAGTGTACCACCAGAGCTCCTTTTATGTACCATATAGTATTTGTGTATTAATGAGAGTGCATATGTAAGAAACAAGGTGTATCAAAATAAATGTCCTTTTGAAAAATTAAGGCTAAGTAGCTCAGTATTTATGAGTTTACCAGGCAAAGGCCTTTGAAAAACAAAAGGAATGAAAAATTATTTTTGCTCTGAAAGAACTTATAGTCAAGTTGGTAGTCAAGTACGGTAATATTTTTACACACTGCAGTAAGTGACTTGTGAGTGTTATAGAAGTTCTCCAGAGATTTAGGTGAGGGAGACTTGTGATTGAGACTTAATGAAAATGCTACTTGAGATGAGTAAGCCTTGGAAGGTTTTTAACAGGTGGATATTAACAAACATCTCATATGAATAAAATAACGGGTTCTTGGGAAGATGTCTTAGTTATCTAGTGCTGTTGTAACAGAAATACCACAGATTTGTGGCTTTAACAAACATTTATTTTCTCACAATTTAAGAGATTAGAAGTGTGAATTCAGGGTATTGGCTCTAGAGAAAGGAAACCACTTGAGTGACTTTGTTGTTGTTGTTGTTATGTGCCGTCGAGTCGGCCCCGACTCATAGCGACCCCTCCTTGGGTTTTCCCAGGCAGTATCACTACGGAAGTAGGATTGCCCAACCTTCCTTCCGAGGAGTGGCTGGTGGGTTTGAACCGCCAGCCTTCTGGTTAGCAGTCAAGTGCTTTAGCCACTATGCTACCAGAGCTCCTAAGCCAAATCTTGGCAGCATCACTTATGTGGCCTTTGTGGTTTTCTTGAATTACTATCTTGAAAGCAGACCTTAAGATAAAGACATGGGTGCATATGAAATCCCAAGAAGGGTAAGTGAGGAAGTAGGTAAAGTGAGTCAAAAAACCAACCAAATTCGTTGCTGTTGAGTCACTTCTGACTCTATGTGTTAGAGTAGAACCGCTTCATAAGGTTTTACAGCGTAATCTTTATGGGATCAGGTTGCAAGCTCTTTATTTTGTAGTGCTGCTGAGTGGATTTGAACTGCCAACTGTTAGGTTAATAGCCAAGTGCAAGTCATTTGTGCTACCCAGGTACCTAAAATGAGTCAGGGAAAGGAGAAAAGCAAATAATGGATGGACAGCAAGGGGCTTAATCCTGTGAGGTGTTTGTAGACCAGTTTCAGTATCATCCTACCAAATGAAAGGAAAGCGGGGATGTTTTCTACCTACTCCAGGCCTCACTGATTGATATTGTACCCTAATGCCTTTGTTACTTCCAGTTGTCCTGAGTATAGCTGAGCAAGCTATTGAGGTTCTGGAGAACTTACTGAAATGGTTGCGGTTGGAAGCTGTCAATACCTGGAAACTGTCCATACCAGTTGAAAAGTGAACACTCAGGTGAGCTAAAGGGATATGGAGACTGGTATCAACAATGTCTGTTATATTCATTCTTGTTGAATAATCCGGATGTCAGATAAATGCCTTAATTTAGGTTCAGACCTAGAAGAAATGTGAGTTGAGGAGAAGTGACAAAGAAGCAGAATTTGGAAACTGATAGAATATAGAAAATGAGGAGAGAATCTAAGACAGCGATAAAGAATAGTCCAGCCCAAAATATTAATAGTGCCAAGGTTGAGAAACCCTGGTCTAAGATATGTTCATCCTTGTTCTCAAGGAACTCAAAAAGAAACTGGAAAAAAAACTAAACAAACTCACTGCTGCTGGGTCGCATCTGACTCAGAGCAACCCCTCCTTGGGTTTCCGAGGCAGTATCACTACGGAAGTAGATTGCCCAACCTTCCTTCCAAGGAGTGGCTAGTGGGTTTGTTTGAACCACCAGCCTTTTGGTTAGCAGTCAAGCACCTTAGGCACTACACTACCTTCCTTCCAAGGAGTGGCTGGTGGGTTTGAATCACCAGCCTTCTGGTTAGCAGTCAGATGCTTTAAGCACTATGCCACCAGAGCTCCCAGCACTCTAAAATTAGTACAGCAATAATAATAGCTGCTATCTCACCAGCTGTTCTGTGAAAGGAAGATGAGGCAGTCTACTTCCATAAAAGATTTACAGTCTTGGAAACCCAATGGGGGTTGCTATGAGTCAGAATTGACTCAATGGCAGTGGGTTTGGCTTTTGGTATTATTTATTGAATTCGTATGGGCCAGGCATAGAATTAGATTATATAAATAAATTGGTGTAACTCTTTGTAATGTGATGGGGATTAGGATTGTGGTATTTCCATTTTCCAGTTGAGGAACCCAAAGTCCAGAATGATGAAAACAAATAGATTTCAGATAGAGAACATTAGGAGACTACACAAAACAAAACAAAACCCGATGCCATCAAGTCATTTCCGACTCATAGCAACCCAGTAGAATAGAGTAGAATTGCCCCATAGGGTTTCCGGGCTTGTAATCTTTATGGAAGCTGACTGCCACATTCTGTAGAATGGTTGGTGAGTTCGAGCTACTGTCCTTTTGTTTAGTAGCTGAGCACTTAGCCATGACTCCCAACAGGGGTCTATAAGGGTCTCTTAGTAGAATTAATAAAGCTCTTTCATTGATTAGACCGTTGAGGGTCAATGGGGCACGTTGCCAAGAAGAGGGAAATAGAAATGGATCAGTATTTATTTTTATGTCTTATGGTTTAAATGAAAATTAAGATTTATTAGGCAAGGATTTATAGGACTTTTGTGAGATCTTTGTGAAGATTTCAAAGAGTTTGTATTTGGAGTTTGACAAAGTATTTGTTAAAAGGTTAAAAGAACAAGAAAAAGTTCTTTAAAATGTTTGTCAAGATTTAATAAGAAGTCTCTGTAAGCAATTACTAGAGATTGATTTTGAGTGGAATAAACTTATATGTTACTGTTGTTGTTGTTGTTATTTGCCATCGAGTCGGCCCCAACTCATAGCGACCCCTCCTTGGGTTTCCGAGGCAGTATCACTACGGAAGTAGGAATGCCCAACCTTCCTTCCGAGGAGTGGCTGGTGGGTTTGAACCGCCAGCCTTCTGGTTAGCAGTCAAGTGCCTTAGGCACTATGCTACCAGGGCTCCTATATGTTACTAGAATCTTTAAAATATAAAAATTTTTTGGCCTTTCATTGGATAGCAATTTTCTTTCTATTTACCACCTCAGTAAGTATGGAAAGATAAAGCATATACTTATTAATATTGCAATTTTGCTATTAAAATTATTCTAAAACCTAATATTTAAAATAATGCTTCCTGTTCTAGTCAGATTAATTGTAGCAGTGGAACTATAGTTGAGTTTGAAACTACTGAGAGACAAATCCATTTTTTATAATCACAATATTAAAATTCGGTTTTCAATGGAAAATGCTATCCTTTGAAACACCTCTGACAGGTTGGTCATTCAATCTCTGTGTGTTCCAGTGATGGGAAACATCCTGTTACCAAGGTTATACATACATTTCCAGGTTTGTATTACTCTGTTGAAAGTTCATCTGTGTTTGAACCAAAATTTAATTTGTGGTTTCCAGCCTTCTCCAGTTAGCATAGAAAAGAAAGGAGACCTCTCTTACTTTGATTATCATTCTTTGAGCACATGTATCAAGTCCCCCAACTTTTGACTTCTTTGGTATAAACAGCCATACTTTAAGTTGTTTCTCATAGTAGTTAATATTTATTGAGCACTTACTTACTGTATCACTTTTATCTAAGTGCTTTATGTGTGTTAACATATATAATCCTCCCCAAACTCCATGTGGTAGACACATGTAATTATCTCAGTTTTTCCGAATGAGGCAACTGAGGCAAAAAGAAGTAACTCTCCTGGTCACAAACCTAGGAGATAATGGAGCTTGGATATGAATCCAGGTAGCCTTGCTCTAGAAACTTTATTCTTAACCATAGCACTGTCTTATAAGATACAGTTTTCAAATCCTATATTTTAATGCTTTCTTATTCTGTGTCTTTTGGTATTCCTCTTATATAAAATATTCTAAGTATGATCTGTTAAGCTTATGAGTACAGTAAGACTTGCTATTCTTTCTATTTGGAAATTTATTCTATTGCTAAATTTCCTAAGAATCACTTTGCATCTTTTAAGGTCTATAAACACCTGCAGCCCTTCTTTTAGCCTCATTTCAGACAGTAGATTCTTTGATCCTCAATATAGAATATTAGATCTTTCTTACTGCATTTCATTTAGTTTCAGTTAGTTTTAGGTCATTTATCTAAGGAGCTCTGGTGGTGTAGTGCTTCAGGCATTTGGCTGCTAACCAGAAGGTTAGCAGTTCAAACCATCAGCCACTCTGCGGAAGGAAGATGGGGCAGTCTACTTCCGTAAAGATTTACCACCTCGGAAACCCAGTGGAGGTCGCTATAAGTTGGAAATGAGTTGATGGCAGTGGTTTTGTGCAAAAAGGACAAGAAGGCCACATGTTCTGACCTCCTCTAATCCAACAAGAGGAAGACAGGATTACCAGCAGTAACCCAAGGCCTATTCCTACAAGGCCAGACATGCTGCCTTCCTCCAGCCCTTTTACCAGCCGTTCCTCCCAAAGCACCCACCACCTCTCTCCTGGGTTCAATAATTCGCTGCAGTGGCCACACAGAACTCACAGATTATGAGGTTTATTAGGGAAGCACCACAGGCTACAATTCGAGTTCAGGAAAAATGCTCAGTCTCTCTCCCAGCCCACCGTCCCTCAGCCAACAGTCTCACAGTCTCTTTCCCAGCAGTGCTGGTCCCTCGATGTCTCACTCAGCAATGCGTGTCTCTTGCGTCTCTTTCCCAGCAGCACGTGTCTCTTTCCAGGGTGCATGTGTCTTTCGGCAGCACGTCTTCCTCAACCAGCAGTCTGAGAGAGTTCTGCCTTTAGGAGGCCTCCTTTTGAGCCTGGCAGGGTGGTCAAATTAGCCAATCATAGCATCAGAACTCTAAGCACCTGAGAGAGAGTGGGCACCTCCCAGAACATTGTATTGTGCCACTCCCAACAGAAATACTCCAGGTGGACACCTTCAGTAATCAGGAGCTCCTCAGTTGCTCATAGCAAATCCCAACTTGGAGTTTACAAAGACTTATGGGTAGAAAAGCCGCACTAAGTACTACACTGCATTTTGGTTTAGATCATTTTTCTAAATAGTTAATTTTTTTCTCACTCAAAATGTATTTCTTTTTTATAAGTTTATAATTAGATTTCACATGCCTGTCTTTCATATTTTCATCTACATTTTTGTTAAAAAATAGATCAAATAGCACTGTCACATGGTAGTAAAGACCTCCTTCTGGATTTATACTAATGTTCTCTAAAACTATTAAATAGCTGTCCCCTGAAATATATTTTTTCCTAGCTCTCACCTGGGAGCTCTGGTGGTGTAGTGCCTAAGGCATTTGACTGCTTACCAGAAGGCTGGCAGTTCTAACCCACCAGCCACTCCTTGGGAAGAAGGTTGGGCAATCTAGAGATAGCACCTCAGAAACCTGAGGAGAGGTCACTGTGAGTTGAATTGACTCGACGGCAGTGAGTTTGATTTACCTAAATCTGTATATTGTACTTTTTGGAAAAGACTAGGTGGTTTCTGAGTATTAAGAGATTCTCATTAGGTTACCAACTACGTCTTGATGTGTGACAAAAATACTAGCACAGGTCACTATGACTTTCCTAATACTAATTTTTGAATATCTGCTTTTCTGTTGTTAGGATGGTAGGACAGGGTTTATAGGCCTGAAACTTGGAGCTAATACTGCTAAAAATTTTTCCCCCTTAAAATTAACACCATATGAGCTGTTTTGAATGTATTTTAACATAGATGGGCATTTGAGCCCCAAAGCTCATCATAGAGTGTAAATGCAGTTGTTTTAATTTTCTAGTTGGTGTTATTGCTATCCATTAATACATGAGAAGATTTCAAATTGTCCACTTAGGGTAGATATAAGAAAAAGCTACTAGATACAGAGGGCAAATTGAGGTCAAATTATAGAAAGGCTTAGCTTCCATGTGAAGCTTGAATTTTCTT